GAAAATTTGCTATTTTTTTGGTTCTCATTAAACTTTTGAATGAAATAACAACTGTATAGAAATAGTAATCAGCTAGGTTACAAGACATTGAGAGTAATAGAATACATACCTATATTGTCGTTCCTACGATGTAAGGGCGTATAACTATTTCCATACAAACTCCAAAAAGCATTGAGTCTTAGCATGATAGGGCTCATGTGGGAATAGATAAAATAGATGCCTTTACATCGGAGGAACAACGATATGTGGCTCTCATAATGAAAACTCCTGAGTTTGAATGAATGTCATACATCAGCTCGTTGTCATTACTTGACAAAATAAGAAAAAAAAAACAACTTAATTGGCTTGAAGCAATAAGACTAAATCAACTTAAAATGAGACAAAAGCCTCAAAAACGTAAATTAAAAAAACCCAGGACGCTTCACAGTGTTACAACTGCAGTGCGAAAAAATACGGTTGTAACACCGTGAAATGTTCCGGATTTTTTATTTTATGATTTTGCAGCCCTAGTCCCATCTGAAGTTGATTTTGCAAAATATGAAACTTATATTCTCAGTTTTCTTCAGTCATTAAAATTATTGTCTGTGTGATCCTTCAAATACATAGTAGTAAACAAATTATCATTCACTAATTATTTAAATTTGCTTCTTTATCTTATTTTTTTTTTCCTCTGCTAGATTTGCAGCGTGAGAGCTGAAGGTGAGATAAATATTTTTTATCTCTCTAAAAATTGGAAATCTTCGAATTTTTCTCATCTTCAGAACATGAACAATGCTAAAAAAGTTTGTAGCTGTGGTATTAACATAAATTTCGGTTTAGTTACCTAGTCTTACAAAAAAATTTACCACAGTTTTTTTACTTTTAATCCAAGATATGGCTAAATTGAACAATATAAAAAACGGTGGTTAAAACGTAAATTTAATTAGTAACGACCATAATGTGTCACTAGCTGAGGTAAGATCTTAAGCACTTTGCACATATTTTCTCTTCAAAATTTCACAAGAAAACAAATGACGCAACGGGAAGTCTGAAACTCAAATCCTTAACTAGATTTAACTGTTTACAGTCAACACTGGTTAAATGGCGAAAATGCAAACCAAATCATTTGTATAGTCTAATTTCTATTTTATCGGTGTTAAAACGACGAAAAGAAAAAAAGAACTTGCTAATGTATAACTCGTTCGAGATGACTTTGGAATATCTTACTATGTGTGTATCAAAATACTAATAATAACACTTGAAGAAGAGTCATGATCATGAGTTCAGATACGGACCTTAAATGCTGATTTCGTGTAAAATTTTGCAGTGCTCAAACAGAGAAATGTGTCCAAAAGTTGTAAACTCCTCTTAAAAGAACCATCAAAAGGAAATGCTCATCTTTGAATAGAATTTTTACAAATCTGAAAACTGATTTCTTCTGTGGCCAGCCTTTCATTATGACAACTGAGTCATTATTAACATTATTTACTTCATGAGAATTGGCATGAGTTGACATTTGTGAGATCAAGTTTTAGACTGTTGCCATCCAGTGCTTTGAAAATAAAATTAGGTGGGTTAGAGAATCCGGAAGTATGTATTAATTGTAGGAATTGTAGCTGAAACTGACCATCAAGCTTAAAACGACCATTAGGTCAACCAATCCTAAAGAGCCCTTAGAAATAGTGTTATACTGAATGCAAGCGAATTCTCAAAAGTAAAAGTTGATTCACTGCATGTATTTACGAGTGAAATTATTTCACCTCTTCGAAGTGAATTTGAGCATACTTCATTTGTGGAAAGTAAATTATAAAAATATTATTTCTGGATTCCTGAGGATCAATGAGTTTGACGTACATATATGAGGAATGATTTTGGTAGGCCGGTAATCATGAGAAGATGAGGTGTTAATTTTCTTAAAAATTATAAATGAAATGTTTTAAGTCAAACTTTTACGTATAATTATGAACTGTTTGCCTTCAATCTACCAAACATCATGGCTTTGAACTGAAGAAAAATGAAAGCATTCTAAAAAATTTACTAAGCCTCCAGCAGTTTTGACCCAACAGGTTTTTGTAGTGCCTAAAAGTGAAATCCAAGTTGTATCTACTCTGTTGTGGGGACGCACCCAATCTCATTCTATAGATTGAATAGTGTTAACTCTAATCAATGGATGCTCAGTTATGTGGTTGTAAATTATGGCAAATCTTTGATTTTTTGAGCACAAGAGAGCTTAAAACTTCATAAATCAAGGTGGCCCTCAGATACACTGAAGGTGCCAAACAAATTGGCAATGTAGATCATTGATACTGTGGAAAACAGGCCTTCAAGGATGGCATAATTTCTCAAAAACAAATTTTCTAGTCCCTAAAGTTCAGAGCCCATATGTTTTCTCCGAACATACCTCGAGAAGTAATCAGGCCTCCAGCATTTACAGCTTCCAGGGATTAAGAACCAGTCATAGTATAGACGGACCTGAAATCATTTATTAATTGAGGGTTAATAAACATGGAATCAGTCGTATGATAAGATTTTGAAAATTAAATTCGTATAGTCTTCATTCTTCCCTTTATCTTCAATGTATAAAAATAGAACTTTTGACGTTGAATGCTAATTATTGGTAAGAATTCTTTTGTACCTGAAAAACATGATGATCATTTATGTAATCTGTGCTCTGCACTAGAATGAAGTGGTAGAACCATGTTGTCAAACTTTAATCCATGTTCCAGAACTGACTATTTCTTGGAAGAAGGTTTTTTAATTAGAACATTATTCAATGCAAAATTTGGAACAGTAGTTCAAAGTATTTTTTTTTTTTTTGGGCACATTTTGACCTTAATTTTGAAAAGCACATTTATCACCAAGGAAGGAGTTGGAAAAGTTGTAAATAAGTACCTTCTCTAAAGACGTTCAATGATAGGTATTCGTATGTGACTGTAGTTTCAGCAAGAAGGTCAGGTCCCAAAGTGGAAAAATGTGAGAGATTTTAATACATTTTAGGCACGTATTGAATTCAGAGAAAATGATGAAACAATTGAGTGACTTGTGTTTTTTTGAAAAAAGAAAGCAAATCTTCCGAGTAGCAAATGTGATTGAATAAAGTATGTTTGTGGACGCAAAATTCATAGAAAAAGGTCATCTGTTCCCATTAAATCAGGGTCCGTCTCTTGATAAAGCCCTTACAATCAGCTTTAAAAACACTGTTTGATAGGATCGGTACCTATCTCATCCAAGGACAATGTTTCATGTGGTCTCATCCAGCATCTCCGTAGTTTTATACATATTGTGTAAGTTATCAGTCAAAGGGCAATATCAGGGTCAAAAATCATCAAACCATTTACCTGGAAGCAACCCAGCTGATCAACGCCATCGCAGTGTGAACGCTTACTGCTAGGAGTTGAGTTTTCAGAGCCAGCTCTTTTTTGTAAATATTGCTGATATTGTTGGAAGTCTTGAACCGCTGGTGGCTCCTCTCCAGCCACTGGAGTTCGATGCACAACTGGTTGCCGTCTATTTGATGGCAAGAAAGTGTCAGGGTAGAAAATTTCAGCTACAAGTAAACTTGCCCATCTTGGAGAAGACAGACAACCACCGTCCATGTAGTGACACTTACTTTGTCTGGAACAAAATTGTTTAGCTTAACTCAAAGTGAAATTTTATGAATAGTGGCAACACCTAAAACTTATCCTTGGGGAGAAATTAAAAAATGCACACTCAATCGGTAGTGTATCAATATTTAAGCGGCAACTTCATCTTTTTAAAAGAAAAATCTATAGATATTATTGTTTAAATAAATAAAGGGTTTGTTCTAAAATTTTGAATTTTTTCTCTGAAATTTTCTTACAAAATATTCTGTGTCAGGAGAAAAATTCAGAAGAAGATTCAAGAAAAATGTTACTCAGTTTTTGTTTTTAAACATTTAATGAGCATAAATGGGAATATGTAATGTTGCAATCCAAAGTTTTTAAATTCTTACCAGATAATATTCAGTGAAACCAATCTTGGCTTGTACGTTTTAATAAGATTTTTCAGTGTGTTGAAAATACTGCCTAGTTTCCAGTTTTCACCTTTCCACGTTTGAAAATGAGGATTGATTCGTTTAAAATATAACACTGATCCTTTACGTTTAAGAGATTTGCACTTACACGCATCTTGTTACTTCTACTGTTTGTGTGAAGTATCCCTCATATGGAATTTGAACCACATATCGCCAAACTCCTTGATAATTTCTGGCAAACACAGGTGTTGCATATTCCACCTTTGCTGGACAGGGAGTTGGTGGTCCATCTAATGGCAAACCATTGGTGCTGTCAGTCTTCGTTCGGTAGTCAAGTGACTCATCGTCCCTCCTCTCAATCATACCAGAGCCTAGAGGTCGTCCTTGGATTGCTTTGTACAACATGCACAAACTGCAAAAAAATAATTCTCACATCAAATTCTCACTTCTTGCTCAGGTTTATACATTCCTATTGTGCTCTATACCTCCTTTGAACAAGCATAGAGGCATCATTTGCTAGGAGTTCAGCCATGAGAAAAAGAGGAAAATAATTTTATATTGCAAACTGTTACAATGAAATCTT